TGATATCAAAGAGATTTTATAATTTGATCTTCAGATTTTGATGGTATTAGTTTGTGATTTGAATAAGTTCCGAGCCTTGTGCACTTGTGGGACACGTCTCACGAGTGCACGGCGTCTGCCACATCCCTGGATTTGGGTTCTGGGGCATGACAGATTTAGTGGTATCAGAGCTTAGGTTTGATTTAAGATTTTGTGATGTTAGAGCCTAGGTTTAATTAAATATCTAGGATATGTTTTGAACTTGGCTAGCTAAGAGATTTAGAACCGTGGTGAGACGAGTGATGGGGTTATACAAGGGACGATTCTGATTTGTGTTGCTCGAATTTTCTGATTCACTTTGATGTGATAGTAATTCAGTTAGTACCCGTTATCTACCGATAGTGAGAAGTTTTGAAATTAATCTTGCTCACTATGCTATTAGGACCTTGTTTGAAACTTGGTCCTTTGTGATAGTATGCTTGGTTTGGGTTGTGGCAGGATGTATAAGGCCTTCCACATTAGGTCTGTTTGTTTGAGTATTCATCTAAGCATTCATACATGAATGCAAACATGGACATACATGAGCATATACACGCATACATGCATGCACACATGGGCATTCATACATGCATGCATAAAGGCATTCATTCATACATGCATATGCATGCATTCATCCGTTCATGATTCGATATATCCGAGTGATGTTTATCCGTCTCGGATAGGGTTCCATCGTTTAGTTGGATACATCATTAGACTCCCTGCCATGATGTGTTTGATGAGTGCCGGGTCTTGATTTGAGTCAAGGGCACCACATAATCATGCCAATAACTCTCGAGTTTGGTTACTTGTGTTGAGGCGTGAAGTTATCTCCTGCCTCCCAAATGGCTATTGGGAGGGTGGAGATTGAGAAATTGTTGTTGGCTTGTTAGGATAGTGATGAGTACCGAGTCCCGGTAAAGTGAATTTCACTATCGTACCTTCGTAATTGTTAGCCGTGTATTGTGAAACTGATTTCCTTGTTCTTGTTGTGGTTTGATATTAGAGTGGCGCAACGAAAGCGTAGTAGATCATGTTCTGATCATAGAAAGTTGGTGGGGCATTGTTTTGTCTTAGATTGTGTGAAGCCATTCACCAGTCTAGACAATCCTA